ACGGGGCACCGGCCACCGCCCCACGCGGGGACACCCACGGGCAGCGCCCCGGAGCTGCGTGCTCAGCCCCTGCCCGCCAGCCCGGGGTGCTGCGGCAGCCCCGGCAGAGCTTGCTCCCCAAAACCGGGGCTCCCCGGCCCAGGGATGCCCAGAGGATGGGTGCCTGCACCTCTGGCATCGCACGCTCGCCCGGCTGCTGGGTGTCCCAGGTCCAGCTGTGGGGTGCCAGGCTGTCCCCGCTCCAGGCACGGGGTGCCCAGGTCCAGCTGCAGGCTGCCAGGCTGTCCCCGAGCTGGGCACAGGGTGCCCCGGGTCAGGGCGGGGGGAGCCAGGCTGTGCCCAGGCCCGGTGCCCCCGGACGGGGGGCTGAGCGTGGCAGGCACTTGCCCGGCAGATGGAGCGCATGATCGTCAGCATGCAGGACCCCGACATGGGCATCAAGATGAGGAACCAACGCTTGCTCATCACCGTCATCCCCCACGCCATGACAGGTAGGTCCCCGTGGCGGGGCGCCCTGCGAGGCGCGTGGGGTGGGGGAGGCATGCCGGCGCTCCCCCGGTGGCCCCGGTCCTGCACCCGGCACCCAGCCCTGCGCCGCTCGCCTCCCCGCACCCAACGGGTGCTCAGCGCTGCAGCTGGGATCAATTATGCATCGGCTGAGTGGGGCGGGCGCTCGCCAGGGCGGGCGGCCCAGCATGTCCTTGGCAGGGCCCCCGTCACCCTGTGTGACCCCCTCGGCACCCGCTGTGCCGTGCTAGGGTGCCTCAGCCTGGGAACCTCCCCGTGCCCGGTCTGGGGGACCCCATCGCACCCTGCTAATGCTGCCTCGGTCCCCAGGAAACGACATCGTGGAGTGGCTTATCCAGAAGTACGGCATCTCCGAGGAGGGTGAGTGCCCCGGCACGGGTGGCCGGCACCGTGGGGGCGACCGGGACTGCCGAGCCACCATGCAGCCCCTGATTCCGCTCCTCCAGAGTCGCTGCACCTCGGCAACCTCATCGTGAAGCACGGCTACATCTACCCCCTCAAAGACCCCCACAGCCTGGTGCTGCGGGCGGACGAGTCACCCTACCGCTTCCAGGTGCGGCCCCACTGGCGGTGTGGGCACTGCCGCAGCCTCAGGGCTCCCCCGGCTCGGCACCACCGCACCCCACAGCGTCCACCTCAGCCTCTTCCCCCTCCCGACCCTGCAGACCCCCTATTTCTGGACCAGCACCAAGTGGCCAGCCACGGAGCTGGACTACGGTAGGTGCCACTGTGCCGCCGGCACCAGCACAGGCTGCAGCCCCTTCCTGGCCCCCCTGAGGTGCCACCGCTCCTCTTGCAGCCATTTACCTGGCCAAGAAGAACATCCGCAGGCAGGGTGACCTGATCGAGCACGAGAAGGTGAGCGGTGCCCTCCTCACACCTGTGGTGAGCTGGGGGAGGTCTCAGCTCACCCAGGAGCAGGGGCTCACCCGTGGGGCAGCACCAGCTCTCCCTTTGCTGGAGCAGGGATGGGACCCGGAGCCAGGCGAGGGGGCCGGGTGTCATGCCATGCCTACCCGCCACAGGACAACTACAACCTCCTGCACAAGCGGATCAACCACACGTGGGACTTTGTGGTGATGCAGGCACGAGAGCAGCTTCGGTGAGTGCAGGCATGGCCCAGCACCGCTGCACCCTGGCGAGCCGCTGGGGATGGAGCACCCTTGGGTGCCACGGCAGGCAGGGTGCCAGCACCTTCCCGCTGCCTTTGCACGGGCAGGGCGGCCAAGCAGCGGCGGAAGGGCGACCGCATCGTCATTGACTGCCAAGAGCAGGCGTACTGGCTCGTCAACCGGCCCCCGGTGAGGATGTGCTGGAGGGGGCGAGGGGTGCCGGGCTGGTGGGTGCAGCAGCCCCGGGCAGCTCCCCGGCACCAGGCACAGCCCTGGCCCGGGGAGCGGGGCTGGGGAGTGTGGGGGTTCCCGCCAGCCCCCGGCACAATGCTCTCATTGCAGCCGGGAGCCCCCAATGTGCTGGAGCAGGGCCCTGAGCGCAGGAACTGCCACACCACTCGTGTCCAGCTGGTGAGTGGGGGGGCCGGGCACCCCCGGGGCTGCTGGCGGACACAGGGCACAGCCACCCGCGTGTGCCGAGCTGCCCCGGTGGGTGCCTGGCCACCCCTCCCCCTCAGGCTGTGCCTATATTTTGGCAGGGCGGGGAGCCCCATCTCTGCTAACATCTATGTGTCCAGCTTGTCCCCCCAGGGGGTCCATGTGTTTGCCCGTGCACCTACCACCCCTCTGTGCCAGCACCCCTAATCCCCATGGAGCAGCCACTCTGCTGGGAGCCCTGGCACCCCGGGGTGCCCGCAGCCACCGCTGGGCCCTTCCCTGTGTCGTGGCCCCACTAACACTGCCCCAGTCGTGTCCCCCCCCCAGCTTGTCCTCACTAACCACCCACTTTCTCTTCTCTGCGCCATGTGCCGTGTCCTGTGCCCACGTAAGTGTCACTAACCCAGGGCTGGTGCCACACTGGGGTGGGGGGGGTGGGGTGGATGCCGGGGTTCATCCTATGAGGGGTGTGGGGATGAGGCTGGAGACCACAGGGATGGCCATGGGATGCCGGGACGAGGATGGGGGCTGGATGCCTGGGTCCTTGCCCAAGGTGGTGATGGCAGGGCTGGTGGCACAATGTCCCAGCCCACTATGCCCTCACCCAGCCCTGCATATCTCTTGCAGACCAAGAACATGGATTACTACAAGCGGGAGGTGAGTGGGGTGAGGGGCGGGGGTGGCTCCTGGGGACATGGGCTGCCGGGCACCCCTGACATCTCCCCTGCACCTGGCCCCAGATCGAGTACTGCAGGAAGGCCATGGCCAGGACCAGGGTGAAGTCCTCCATCTGCCTCGAGGGGTGAGTGACTGGCAGCTGCCCCGGCTGCAGGCAGGGTCCCTGTTGGGGTGACAGGAGCACCCACATTCCTGCGGACAGCTGCCGGCACCACAGTGCCTGTGCTGCTATCACCCTTGGTGGGGAGCAGAGCCAAGGCTCCATGGTCATCTCAGAGTCCAAGCACAGCCCCGCGTTGGCTGGGACTGGTGGCAGCGGTGGGATGGTGGTCCTGGCCGCCTCCAGCCGCTGCCCCTGGCAGGTACATCAAGTTCAATGAGCAGTACATGCCCCACGACCCCATCATGTCCGGCTGCCTGCCCAGCAACCCCTGGATCACAGACGACACCACGTACTGGGCCATGAATGCCCCCACGTAAGCGCCCTCGGGGGGGCTGCCAGCCCCTGTTCCCCCCTCCACCCCAATACACGGGGTGCAAGGGGGGGATGGGGCCATGCCTGCCCTGACGCCGGTGTCGCCCGCAGGGTGCAGACCCCCACGAAGCTGCGTGTGGAGCGCTGGGGCTTCAACTTCAGCGAGCTCCTCACCGACCCCCTGGGCCGGGCGCAGCTCCTTGACTTCCTCAAGAAGGAGTTCAGCGGTGAGCAGCCGCAGCCCTGCACCCCCTGACCCATTGCCCTGTCCCAGCAGCCCCAAACCCATCATCCCATCCCGGCACTCCCAGACTCACTAACCTGTCCCAGCACCCCCAGACCCACCACCATATCCCAGTACCACTTAATCCACTGCCCTGTCCCGGCAACACCAAACCCACTGCCCCACCCTGGCATCCCCAAACCCACCACCACATCCCAGCACCCCTTGACCAACCTATCCTGGCAGCCCCTGACCCACCACCACATCCTTGCACCCCCTGACCTACCGCCACGTCCCAGCATCCCTGGACCCACCAGCCCACATTGCAGCAGCTGGCTCCATACCAGGGGGTTTGGCCCCACAGTTGGCTGGGCGGTGGGCCCAGCAGTGATGGCCTGGGGATGATGTCCCCATCCCCAATGCCATGTCCCCCTCCTCAGCTGAGAACCTGAGCTTCTGGGAGGCATGTGAGGAGCTGCGCTATGGGGAGCAGTCCCGCATCACTGAGATCGTGGACTCCATCTACCAGTGAGTGGAGCGGGGTGAGGGTTTGGGGGGAGACCAGGCCATCACGGTGCTACGTCCTGCTGCGGGGCCGGGTGCTCACCTCCGGCTGCGACTCCCCAGGCAGTTCCTGGCTCCTGGGGCCACGCGGTGGGTGAACATTGACAGCAAGACCATGGAGCGGACGCTGGAGGGCATCAAGACGCCCCATCGCTACGTGATGGACGATGCCCAGATGCACATCTACATGCTGATGAAGAAGGTGGGTGAGGGCAGGGCTGGGCAGGGCTGGGTTGGGCGGGAGCCTGACACCTCTGCTCTCCCAGGACTCCTACCCACGGTTCCTCAAGTCGGAGCTCTACAGGAACCTCCTGGCCGAGGCTGTCATCCCCCCGGAGACCAAGAAGCGGTGAGGGCAGGAGCCGGCCCCTCGTGGTGCTGGGCTGGTCCCCACCAGCGCTGACCCTGCTCTGCCCACAGGGTCTTCCCCTTCATGCGCAAGCAGCGGCACTCCAGCCCCAGCCCGGCCCTGCTCCTGCCCGCGGGCGATGCCGAGGAGAGGAGCAAGGGTCCCGCGGCTGCCCCCGTCCCCGAGGAGGAGAGCTGAGGGCCCCGGTCCCCCTCCAACATGGGAGCCCCCTGGCCCAGCACCCTCCGGCTCGGCCGCAGCCCCCCACCCAGCACACCCCAGCCCCGCCGCAGGACCCTGCCGGCAGTAGCACTGAAGGAGAGAAGCCATACGCCCCCACCCTGGCAACCCCCCCAGGGCCAGGCTGGCCCCACTGCAGCCCCCACTCACGGCCCTGCACCCCCTTCTCCCTCAGGGAGCCTGCACCCAGCCGGCCTGGTGCAGGATCACCCCCTCCTCATGCCCCCCACCCCGGGCACAAGACAATAAAGCCCCCATGGGGAAACGCTGTGGCTCCCATGGTTTTCGGGGAGGGGTAACGAGGGAGGCGGTTGCACGGTGGGGGGTGCACATGGTGGTGGCTGCCACTCTGGGCTGGACTGCGTCCTGTCCCCCCCCGGGCTGGCAGCAACCCCCTCCCCTGCCTGCAGCACCCAGCAAGGGTGCAGATCCCAGGTGGGGGACACACACACGACCAGGCATATGTGCCCATGGCACAGCCACGACCCACAGCTCTGCTTGCTCTGACGGGCAAAACCAGACGCCGTCAGCAGCCCCCGCTGCCCTCCTGCCATGGCTGAGCTGGCACTCAGGGCACTCAGTTACGCTGCTGCCACCTGTACACCCATGTACAGCCCCCAGGGAGGACAAAAAGGCCTTTCGAGTGGGGCCAGAGGTGCCATGGGTCAACAAACCCAGGCTGCAAGGGCCCCGCGGGCTGGCAGTGGCACGCAAGGAGCAGGGCTGGCAGCTGAGCCACTCTGCCTGCCCGCAGCCCATTAATCTGAGCAGAGGCCAAGGATCTCACGGCAGGATTATTCTCTTCGCGGGAGCCAAGCCCCAGCTGTGGGGGATTAACGCTGGTGGTTATATAAAGGAGAGGGGGGCTGGTACCCGCCAGTGCTCAGCCTCGGACCCCAAGCCCACCACCCCGCGTGCACCCAGGGACCCGCAGAGTGGAGCACGCTGGGGACATCCCCAGCCCACAATGGACTAAGCAGTGCCAGCCTGCACCCTGGCTAACAAACAGCGTGGATGCTTGGGATGCTCAGGACTGCGGCATCCTTCCCTGCCACAGAGCTCGGGACTCCCAGCACGGAGCAGGGGCTATCTCTCAGCTCAGTGCTGGGGCAAACAGAGAGGCCTTGGGGCAGAGGAAGCTGCGGGAGCCTCGGTCACAGGATGGAGCTTGGGACCTTGGTGCTGGCAGCCACCAGGCAGCGACAGATGGTCCCACGCTCCAGGAGACAGCGCCTGCCACGCGGCTCCCTCCGGCTTGATCCAAATCCAAGCCCCGGCATGAGATTTTCATGCTGATGGACTGCAGCAGGAATCTGGGGTGTAAAACCAGGTCAGGGAGCCCCAGGCGGGGGGCAGGGACGGGCTGGCCCAGCTTGGTTATCTAACTCCAGCCTCCCTCCACATGCTCCATTCTCCCGGTCCATCACCTGCCTGCAGCAAGACAGGGCAGAGCTATGGCCAGCTCAGCCATCAAAGCATCACCAAGACACCTGGATCCCTCCCAAAAAGGGGGGTTTCTGCCTTCGGGAAGTCACACAAAGGGCTGCCAGAAAAATCCCAGAGTCTTGCATAACCTCAGCTGCAACAACAAAAGCATGGCACCATTTACAAACAATGCAAAAGAGGATTTATTGAAACCATTCCGGTTAGACCAAGTCCTATAGGGCACAATTTGCAATAAGTTAAAGAACCAAACCAAACAGTCTTAGTGTTAAAAAACACACTAATACATAACACAGTGATATATGCCATCATCACCCATCTGAGTTATTGAATCAAGGCACAAAGTCATTCATTAAATACTGCAAAAAAAAAACAATTACACAAGGAAATAAGCTGGAAAAAGGACTTGTTTTGTTAAGAAGGTGCTGGTTTGGCACTGATGCATTTAATTGAGCTGCCACAGGGAAATCTGCGTTTCCAAAGTATCTGGAAACATTAATGTACAACTTAAAGCCAGAAAAGCCCCCCAAAGCCAAAAATCCAGCTCTCCTGAAGGAACATTCAGTGTGCCTATGGGAAAGGTTAGGTCTGGGTAGGGATTGGCGGAGGGAGAGTGCCGAGACCGTGTGACTGTGTGAGAATACAGCCCAGGCAGCTTGCTCCCTGCCAGGGGAATTTCAGTGGGATGCAATCCGCATCCAGCACTCAGGTCAGACTAGCACGCAAGTCTGGGGCTCCCACTGCCCAGCTCCCACAGCCATGCTCCCATCTCTGCCCCAGCCGACTGAAGGGCAGGCTGAATCCAGCCCTTGCAACTTGGGTTCTGCAGCGCTGGCGCAGCCTGTGATCCCTGCAATGCTTCAATGCTGGCACGGGGGCTTGCAGGGCTGCTAGGCTTCAGGTCTTTACCGTGCTGAGCAAAGAGGTGACTTAAGCTGGGGGAAGGGGACACAGCAGGGGAGCCTCCCTGCACCCCCAGACTTCCTCAGAAAACAGTTTGGAAAGAGAGGAAGAGAGGGGGAAGCCAATCATTTTGAGTTCAGGGTGGATCAGGGGTTGTGGAATGCTCTTCTGGGAGCACCCCCAGCTTCTTGCACAGCCCAGATGCCCCAGGACTGGACTCCACCACCAGTGCACCTCTGCAGAGGCCAGCAGCACTCATCCTACATGGCTCCCTTGACTGCCCGAGCTACTGGTCACAGGGCAGCGGGTGCCAGGGCACCCTTTAGGCAACTACCAGGCCAGCTGGAAGCAGGAGGTTAGCATCCTGGCAGACCACTGATCCTGCAGTTCATTTTACCGCAAGGCTGGGAGAGCTGAGGCTGTGGGCATGAGCCTGGGTGACACCAGCTGCCTGAGCCAGCAGCTGCCCTGCAGCAGGTTAAAGCTCAGCAGTTGCCACAAGAGCAGAACTGATGCCCAACCCTCCACAAGCCGACATTAAGTTTCTCATCCTACAGTATTTTTACACACCCCCCAATCTGAGACTAGGCAAGGGAGGGAGGCACTGGCCAAACCCCAGCCCCAGCACTGCAAAACTTGAGAGAGGTTATTTTTAGGGTGTGTGTTTTCTGTCCACCTTCCTCTCACCAGTCAGATGGATGCCCAGCAGTGTAGGGACAGGGCTCATACCTCAGTGCGGCTGGTGTGGGGACCACAGCTTTCAGGACTAAGCAGCAAATTCAAACCATTTTCCAGGCTTTGCACCTCACTTCTACAGTCCACACTGGTGCCCACCAAGGAACAGGGCAGAGCAAACACACCACACTACAGAAGTCTCCAGGGGAGACATCATCTTCACACAGCAACCTGTCCCATTCCCTCGGGCTATCAGGCTGGACAGAGAGAACAGCAACTGAAGATCCTCACCCAGCATCACTTCAATTCCAAGTGCAGGGAGGCAGCCCAAAGCTCTCTCTGGAGCTGTGCTGCAAAGAGAGCTTGCGTTGTTTCCCCGGGTGGTTCATGCCTGTCTTACAGCCTGCCCACCTCCTGGCAGAGGGGACAGTGCTTGGAGAAGACTCCTCAGCAGCTACAAGGCTGAAGGAATATTTGCAGGGCAGCTGGCATTGCCACTCAGGTACAGGGCTCCCCAGAGCAGCAAGCCCAGCTCCCAGGATTGGTTAAAGTGCAATTCTACTCTGAAAAAATGTCCTAGATCCTCTGGCACCTCAAAACCAGCAGGAGAGGTGGTGTCTGTACAGGCAGGGACCAGCCAGCCTGGGCTCAGGGTGGATTTCTTATCTCCTATAATCGGACTGGGGGCAGGGAGGAACATTGATGCATAAATCAGGTGGGAGACCAGCTCCCTTTCTGTCACCAATGCTGCACAGCCTGGCTGGAAAGGAAGCAGCAGAGGAGACAGAAACAGGTAGGCTCCTGACTGCAGAGTAGGGCACATGGAGCTGTTCTTAGGAGAAAAGGTCATTTTCTAAGTACAATGACACTTTAACCTGTGCTCTGCTGGCCCAGGTAACACCTAGCCACATCATCAGCCACGGCTGGGGTCTATCACTACACACACCCCATGACTACTGAAGCAGGGGCCCAAATCCAGGAGAGGGCAATTGCAAATCAACCTGCAGCCAAGCAGCTCTCCCACAGCCAGGAGAGCTGACTCAGAAAGGAAATCTAACACCACACATCGAAGCTCCACTTCTCACACAAGCACCCAAGAAGTAATGAATTCCGGCATCCCCAGCAAGCACGTGTTTTCCTCCAGACACAGGCTGAGTCAGCACAGTTCTGCGGGCACAGAAGGATCAAGGGAAAGCCCTCTTCCCCAAGATGACGACACTTCAGTGGTGGCCAAGCACTGAAGTCCCATCAGCTCTGAGGACAGATGCACTGGCAGCTGCCCCCACAGCCTGGGCATCCCCAGACACTGGGGGTGCTTCCCCACCAGCCACACTTTGGTTTGCGGATCGAGAAAGGTAGCTTCCCATTTGAATCCGTGATCTGGGTTTGCAAAGAGCATGGCTGCAGAGGAGAGGCAGCTTGGAGACATCTGGCCCAGGGCAGACTCTCCCCCTCCCTCAGCAAGCTCACACTCGGCTGTGGAATCGCATCCTGTAGAGGCGGTCCCGGACATACTGCTCGCTGTCCACAGCCACCTGGCTCAGCCAGATCACCCTGCTTTCGGAGACATCCTCCTTCAGCTTACGCTTCATCAGAGACACTGACCCTGGCTCCTCACTGGGTTGAGGTCCCCTCAACAGCACGTAGCAGGCATGACGGCTCCGCTCAAACAGTGTGGCTGTAACGCAGAGCAGAGGGAAAAGCCTGGCCTAAGGTGTCTGTGTTCAGACTGGCCACGAGACCCAACACAGAGTCCAGGAGGTACCAGAAAGCCAGTGTCCTCCTGCACCTCCTTGTTGGAGGGCTGGAAGGAGAGGACTTACCATTGAATGCAATTATTTGGTCTGTGCTATTGCGGAGCTCCAACAGGACATTAGTGTAGGAAGGATGGAAAAGATACAGCTTCTGGAGAGGAGCTCTGGATCTCTGCAACCAACAGGACACTATCAGGACATGGACCCACACGTTATCCCAGAGACAACGCCAGCACCAGGCTCAGCTCAACAGAATACATCCAGTCAGATACTTGTCCGTGTTAGCCCAACTCATCCTGTCTGATGCCACTAGTACTAAGCGTTGGGATTTTGCTTACTGCTTGGTCCTCTCCCCCCCCACCCCAAGCTTCCTGCAAATAGCAGACCTGTCTGCTACAGCCAGGAGACAGATTTTTGCCTTAGGGTTGGTAGAGTTAGCGAGGAAAGCACAGAAAGCTCAGCTGGTGCTCAGGCATTCTCCAAGACACAACCTGTCACTTACACTGCCAGCCACTGCCCCAGAGGGCTCTGTTACGCAGCTGAGCTGTGCGTCGAGGCTGCCAGAGACTGCCTTGGCGCAGAGAGAGGATATTCACATGGCCATGGGAGATCACTGTGTGCAGTACTGCTGTGGGAGGCTCCCGGCCAAACAGCAGCAACTTCAGAGGTACCAAGCCAGCAGCCTCTTGCCTCACCAACAGTACCACACCAAGGCAGGGCCCTGGACAATCCAGTGACTTTGCTCATAGAGCCACTAAGTCCCTTTTCTCTACGTAACCAGGCTGAGGACGACAAAAGCTGCTGGTGTCACCACTAGCTGCTAGCAGTGATACCACTATGGACACTGTGAGGACCCAGTAGAGACCAGACCACTTACAGAGGTCTGCCAGCTTCCAGCAGACCAGACTGGTAAGAGACCCCACACCCAGTACAGGAAGCTGCAGTGTTAGTGGCACAGACAAATGCGAATGTGAACACTGGGAGAAGGGGATAGTTTCACCTAATTCTGGCCCAAAGTCCGGAGAACAGCAACCATTCAGCAACACTACTCACCGTTTCATTTCCTGGCACCTGGTATTCACCCCAGATGAGGAAGGCGGAGCGGTGATCAGCAGTAGAAAGTGTGGCTGGCCCAGGGCTCTCTGCTCTCGAGTTCAGCTTCAGGTCCCACTGGACTGCTCCAGATCCACTCTCAACAATCATAACCTAGCAGGAAAGAAAGAAAAGGAACTCATACCAAAGAGCTCTAACAAGCCATGAGAGAGAAGTCAAGTCAGCTGTCTGTACCCCACACCGTCTATGGGAACAAGTATCTGACTCATGGGAAGATGAGGAAATACTTGAAGCTGAGCATCACAGAGCTGTGAGACCTGGGGCGGGCCACGTTAAAGTCACAAGTTTTGCAGCTATTTCAAGCGGTTCAAAGCTCTGTCATTGAAGCTTCTTGCTGAGAAGAGAAATAAAGTGCCTGAGCCAGCTTCAATAACCTGTTGAAAGAGATCCTTTCCCAGCCTAAAGCTTCCTCAAATCAGCCAGAGGGAACACATCCCACCAGCTGTCCTCGACTCAATGCCTGCTTGAGCTGTGACATGCAGAGAAAAGGGAAGTTAAAAGGAAGAGATTTCAAACCTTCTTCCTGTTGGGTCCAATTTCACTCTCAAGGACAATACCAAGAACATCAGGCTTGTAGTAACCAAGCAGCGGCTCACTAAGGGAGAGAAAGAGAAGGGACAGATCACAACGCATCCTGATGGCATAGGCATGGGCTGTTCTTTCAGAGCAGCCTCTATCCTCCCTCAACTCCCCTGATAAGAGACTTGACCGCTACAATGTTAGGTTAGCCTGGTACCACTCCCAACTCTGAGTCCAGTCCTAGGACAACCATATCACAGCAGGCACAGAATGAAGAATCAAAGCTTTGGGCTCCTCCACTTTGAAGCAGCACCTGACATTTGCTAGCAGAGGACACAACACAATAAGCATGATCCAGATATGACGACAGAGCAGGGTCCTGCACGTCAAATAAATAAATAATAAAAAAAGATAGTGCCTGCCAGGACACTGCTGTTACTGGGAACCTGGAAATGCCACATCCACCCCACATCAGTAACACTACCTCACAACACGGGAGACGTTGAGGGTCCACAAAGTCTGAAGATTTTGTGCATTGATTAGCATAGCCATCTCTGAGTTTACAACCAAGATGTTCTCCCGTGATCGCCCAGGAATTTTTGCCAAGTAACGAATGTCTCCAAAGCTGACAAAGGACAGAGAAATGATTAAGCTTTCTAGACTGTGGATGGTTTTATTGCAGGGTTTTGGTTTTTTCCCTGCACAGCAAATGCAAATATGAAATCCCAGCCTGCTTTCCCTCCTTTCCTGTGAAACCTTGACCAGGCCATCAACACCAGCCCTCTCTCTGAGCTTTGGATGTGCTCCTAGTCCAAAAGCCATGTAGCCAGGAAAGAACAAAGCCACACCAGGCCATCCTGTCAGGAACACCAGTACCCTCCACTCCACCAGCAACCAAGACGTAATCTCACACCTGAGAAAGGATAAGTGGTGCGTGGTGTGGTCAATGTTCTTCTCCCACTGAGGATCTTGCTCAAGGCTGGGAAGCTTAATTTCCATCCCAGTTGCTGCACTGTAGAGATCTTTCAGGGAATATGCATAGAGAGAGTTTTCTGTGGAAAAAAAAAAGGCAAGGATGAGGGAGATAAATTATCCTGCCCTTGCTCTGAACTCTACGATTTTCTAGATCTGGCAGGTCAACTGTATTTTTAGGGTTTGCATCATAGAATTGTAGTGGCATTATGAGACTCAAGCCTGCTTTTGAATGCTTTTAACAACTTTATCTGTTCATAATCCAAGTGTTCCACAGTAATCATTTGCTATAAATGACTACTTAAACCTTACATTCTCAACATTTTTCAAATAAAATTACTACAGTACGTAGCAAACCCTAGTTTAAGCAGAAGCCCCCCCTTCTTTTGGCCTTGAATAGCTCTTTCGCTAGGTGAAAGCATGACATAGCTTATAAGAATGCAGAACACTCTTTCAGACAACTGTTTAGTAATCCTGATTTCACAGTTATCATCACTCTTTCAGACTGAATTCACAAACAGAACTGTACCTGTATAGAAAAGGAAGTAGTAGGAAGAGTCCAGGTTCAGCCTGATATAGCGAGCTTTCCCATCCACGTTCAGGCTTCCAGTGGAGCCGATCTGTTTGCCATTTTTTCCTGAATGGATGAAGGTCTTAATCTACACAGCGAAGGGATTAAAAAAAAAAAGAAGGTTAAAGCTGCATCGCACTGTTACTGCTCCAACTTGAGTGTTTTCCAATGCTTTTGAGCAGCTGGTACTGAACAGCAGCTGAATGGGAACAGCATAGGCTCGGATGAAAAGTCTCTCCCTGGTTTTGGAGGTGTGGGCACGAGTTAGATGATCCCTCTGCTGTGAATACTTTTGCAAGTTTGAAAACCACTTCCAGCACAGCCACTTGCCCCGAGATTTTACTGCCTCTGCCAACCACCTTCCCTGCAGGCTGGGACCGCTGAACAGCAAGCTCCAGCTCTGCTAAGAACAGCAAAGATCGATTCAAGCCTACTGAGCAGTGACAACGATGGAGAGGACCTAAAGGCAGAAACAAAGCAGCATATGGACACAGGGGAAACTTGGCTTCACATGGTAGCTCTGCTAAATATTTTAAGAGCCCTAATCTACTCCTCCTAAGGCTGACATGAGTCCAAGGGGATGAAAGAGCTGACAGGTTTCTTTATATTTTTTGTGCAGGGTAACAGAATCCACTAAAAACATTTCACCCAGGAGAATGAAGGATAAAATCATGATCAGATTCAAATGTCTGGGCAACAGTCATGGTCTGGGGAGAGCAATGCACACTAGGGAAAAGAGAAACATCAGACCGAGACAAACAGCATCCATCAGAGATGCTGAGTCAGGCAGTAACCCTTCCCTCTTTCTTGAGAGGGATGGACTGGGAAAGAGAAGGAAATCTGCTGCTCTCGAAGTGAATCTGGAGAGTCTGGCAGGTGAATAAGGGATAGAGTTTGCTGGGGAGAATGAAGAACACAGCTGGAGAGGGAGAGCAAAGCATCCACCAGCTAGTCCCAGCCTCCTGCACTGGGAGGAGACATATACCAGCTCTTGTAGATCAGCTTCACCTTTACTAGCAAGCACTGGTTCAGCAGCTGCCCGGGGACAGTAACAGCCAAAGGTAGTCATACAGTGAGTGAGAATACATACCACCTTATTCACTGCATTGCTTAATACTTCTGTGTGCTGCTACAGGCAATGTATCCTGAAAAACACTATATTTTCCCGGGTGTATTTGTGCTGAAGCTTGCAGCAGGTAGGGGTCAATAAGACTCTCAGAAAAAGCTATCATCTAAACCCCCTGCACACAGACCCTTCCCCACAGACTGCTCAAAGCTCTGCCATTTCAGGAAACAGCAGTATAATGTAACGTTCAACTTCAGCCCTTGTTAGCAACAAAGCTAATTTACTTAAGTTCTGAATCTCCCTTCCGACGAAACTTTTTCCAAGCTGCAGAGCTCCACCCAAGCTCCCTACGTTTTGCGTGATTCTCAAAAAAGAATGTACTTTTACTTAAGTTGACAGAGTGCTTGCCAAGTCCAGAGGGAGGAAGGGATTTCATACCAAGATAGCTAGAGAGGTTAAATGGAAAACAAATCAAAAGGCAGTCCTGCAGAACAGAGACTACATTCAAACATTTCTTGGCCGCCTAAGATTTAAAAAAAAAAAAAAAAGTCTTGAGATAACTGGGACAGCAAAAGCAAGGAGGACACAAAACAGAAAAGAAATGTAGCAGTTGGAAAGGATAGAATTTCTGATGACTCTGGCAACAACAATGCTTTGGACAGCAAAACCCTATTTGCTTCTGGAAGACTCTGGTATGAGGACATGGGGCTCCCACTGCTCCCATCAGACTTACAGGGAACCGTAACTTTTGTATGCTTTAAACAGGACAGACCGCACATGCAGATGATGCTGTACAACTCAATCATGGATGCAGATGTTTTAGTATAAAAACACTTACAGCTACATGACCTTCCCCCTCTAAGAAATGGGAAAAGCAATATTGGAATGGAGATAACACAACTAGCAGTTATTTCACTAAATGAACCCAAGTCAGAATTAACCAGTGCAGTGACATTAGGAAGAGAGCCATGCAAAGCAGACCACAGGCAGCAATATGAAAGGTATCAGAAAAGGGCAGTGGTGGTACAAAAGTGCTGGCTGTCAGTCGTGTTTTGATCTAAGAGGCAAACCTGTCAGGGTTTGTTCACTTCCACTTCTCTGAGCTGAGTCCCAGAAAACTGCAAGCTCATCTAGCCTAGGCTCACTCCAAACACAGCTCAGGAACACGCAGTGAGGAGCGCAGACTGAAAAGGGGGAGGGATTTCTGATTGGCTTTTTTCTTTTTTTTTTTTTTTAAACCATAAAACACTTGCATTGATTTGGGAGTACATCTCTGTAGGGTGGGAAAGAACCTACCTCAAACCCACAGATATCAGAGGCCTCTGGACACTTCCTCTTAGACCAGAAGATTGAAATAAATAGCATTCCTGCCATCCCCTGTGGCCCAGCCACTGGGTTTATCATAGCTTCAGAGTGACATACCTTATCTGCTGTAGCAATAAAGATTATCAGGTCCTGAAGTCCATCACTATCCACATCTGGAATCACCGACACGGGAGTCAGCACAGTATAATTAGCTCCAAAGTCACTGGACTGTCTCCACCGAACTTCCCCTAGAAGACAATTATTGGGAAACATTCACTAAAATGCACTTTAGGTTGAAAGGCTTTTAACGCCCCTACTCCTCAAGGTACTTTGCAGTAGCCAGCCATTTACAGCCCATCAGTACCGCAAACCAGCCACATTTATGCTCATCATGGGGTACTTTGCTGCATTTCTGCATTTCAAATGAGTCCCAGCACCCATCCACAATTTCAACTTATACTGGAAAGTAATTCTAGCTGTCTGCACCAATGCAGCCAAACATTCTAGGCACAAATCAATTCACAGGGCACAAAGGACAGCTTGCTTTTCTTGCACCTTAGGTTAACAAGCTTCCCAGCATCTTCATGGCATGGAGGATCCTTTTTTGTGATCTAAAATCTTGCTGCTGTGTACTTAAATCTGCGCAGACATTTTAAGAGCATAAAGCAGCTAAATTCTGATCACAGTGTTGCAGCTACTCCGGACAAAACCTTTTATGCTGCAACTTGCCTCCTGCAGATGTTCCACACTGACATGACCAGCCACAACTCAGTTCACATACACCTCTCCCTTGTCCAAAGAACATGCACAGCACGTTCAAACTTGTTTGTAAATAGAGGTAGCAGAGCTTTGGTTTATAAAAAATGGTGTTTGTGTTGTGGGGGAGTTTCTCTTCAGCAGCTCCAGGCCACTTGGGTGACTTTACTCCATACACTCTGCCCAGGGCTGCTGGCCACTTTCCAGTCACTGCCCAGTGGAATGTGCAGTGGAATTCGGGGCGGGGAGTTGGGGGGGAGACCGGTAGGGATTTTTCTTTTTAAGGAAGACTTAAGTGACTAACTAGGTGCTCAGGAGGGAAATGCTTACCCTCCCCTTTAAACAGTATCACAGACAGCAATCATCATTTCAGGAATGCAAAGTAATCATCTGTTCTTTGTCAGGAAGGCAGTTGCACTGAAGGTCAAGGAATTACTTACTACCTGACCCCGTCTGCAATAATTTAAGGCAGGCTGTATTTCCAGTAGGATTCCTTCAAAGCTTTTACTGAAACACTGCAAAAAAATACTTGGATTTGTTACTATGACAACAGATGTGAAGTAGAAGAGTGCCCCTAGGAAATCATGGGAAGGCAAAGAATTTTACCCCTGAAGAAAGCAAGCAGGCAAAGGAAGGAGAGAACTTAAGTTTTAAATAACTATTTCCTGGCTGCAGCACAGACCAAAGCTAAAACAGTAAGACCAGGCTGATAAAATTCGCATTTCAGTGCACAAGGCTCTATTCTTTGCTGCTTAGACAGTAGATATAGTTTTGGAGGAAGCATCTTACTCTCTTAAAAGAGCAGTCTGACTTAATAGAAACAGGTAACAGTGAGACGGATTCAACACAAAGGACTTGAGAAGCTTTCATGCTCTAACACAACTCCCAAAGAGCACGAACTGTGAATCCAGACCCATCCTGCTCCATCAACATGAGATGGGACTATCCTGTCCAACGTCTAGAGTGCTACGGTACTTCCTCAGAGCCCGAGGTCACAGCAGAAGCATGGCAACAAAAGCCAAACTGGAAATTAGACAAGTGCCTAGACAGCAAATCTAACCTGGGTGAAAAGGTTTTTTTTTTCAGTCCAGAAGGAATAATAAGATTAGGACTTAGATGAATGACTTCAGCTCTCACTTCAAGCAGCCACAGAGGACACAAAGCAGGATTGCTTGCTTCGGGCTGGATGAGGTCCAGACACAGCGCCAAAGACTGCTCTCCCAGTCTGCAGCTCACAAGCTATCTGAGCTAAAGGCAGGTCTTTTCTACCGAGCAGTGTTAGACCCCTCTCCCACACCCTTGCCCACTTGTTCACCAAACAGCTGTAAGCTCCTGGCATCCACCATGCAGTGGATGTGAAGAAATATCCCCTTTTGGTTTTTCTGAACCTATCACTTGATAAAGAACCATGGAGCAATGAAGAATTGCAACAGGAAATCATCATTCCCTGTTCTACTTATCACTCATAATTTTACAGACTAATTTCTCCCTGTTGCACATTCTCCAGGCTGAAGTACTGGTTTATTTAGTGATTTCTGGCACAGAAGCAATTTCAAACATCTTACCACCATGGTCCCCTTTCTGCCATATCCCTTAGGAGACCAGAACTGCTCACAGGGCTCACAATGCAGGCTACTGGAGGATAAGGTGAAGAGAGAAGGTGTAACAAAGCACTTACTCCTGTCCTCTTCCTTAAGACTCTGCTTCTGGCCCTGGCAGAGATGGAATACGCAGCTACACAGACTTTTGCTTTGACCTGGAACAGCTAATCTTAAGCTCTTGTGTCCCAGTTTGCTTCTAAGATAAACATGCAGGAATGTGATATGTCCCACACAAACAGAAGCATGCAATCCTACACTTTCCTTCTTGTTTGCTCAGGTCACTTATTCTGGCAATGAAGAAAACAAGACTTAACACAACTCAAATTGATAGAAAAGCACTAACTTTACCAGCATTTAAAGATCAAAACCGTATCAGACATTTTCAGATGATAATCTGCCTACCTCTCCTTCAATCTTCCTACAGGCAGAGGCTAGGCAGCCTGAAAGCCCTGGAATCTCACCAATCCTCCATAAGGATGAATCATTAACAACTAAAGACTGTTCTGACTACTGTTTTTAGCACAATGTGATGTAAGTCAGACTTTGCCACTTTAAATACATTTAGCCTATTTATATACATTTTATTCTGATCTGCCCTCCTAACCCCCAGTAAAAGTCAACTATGCTAAGAAGCCCCTTTTAACCTACTTAATCGCAAAAGGGTATCAAATACGTCAACTTCTGGGTCATTCACTTTTCTATGTGAAGCAATTTTTCATCTCTTGCTTTTAATTTATCTATGGAATGTTTTCTTACCGTATTGTTGCTGTGACCTGTGGCTTAGCCTGGTTCTGTCTCTCCATGCTTGTGCTATGTCTTTACGGTGGTCTTTAGCTATACGCCTTTGGCTCGGCAGTCACCATTCTACACTTGACCTAAAAGCAACTACTTAATTAATAGTCTATAAATAACCTGTGCTAAAGCCTATTGATGAGGGAAATAGTGCTAAGATATCTCAGTTGGTACAGAAGCTTTCCAGCTCTGTGTGTGTCTACACTTCCATCTACACTGGAAATCAAAAACTACACTACATTTTGCTCAGATTCCCTAGAGCTATACCTCTTGCTATTTATCTCTCCCAAATTTTGGAAAATAGGGTGTGAGGGGTTCAATACCAGATACAGAGGATGAGATCCTAGGCATGCTTCCAAGGCAGAACACGCATTGTTTAGAACCTTTGAAACAGTGACCCCCAAAATGGAAATGTATTTCAGGCTTCGTCAGCAAGGAAAGTTCAAGGTGTAGCAGGTGGTCACTGCCCTGTTCCTAGAGAAGTACAGGCACTCTTTACCCTCACCCTGGGTTAGGCAAGATGATGATGAATTTCTCCATCTATAGGTTCAGAAATGAAGAAGGTTTTCCAGAGAAACCAGGCAAAATCCTGGACTACTGAAACAGACTGGTGATTACTTATCCTGAGTGCTCTCCCTGATGACTTTAAAATCATAAATCCCTAGAACTCCCACTCCTCTTGCCACTGCAGGTACTCCTAGCACTCACATGTAAATGACTGAGAAAGATTGCAGGTGGAGGTTTGTGTCCAACCCCTGAGAGTATAAAGTAACATTCACAGCTAGTGACTGCTTCTCCTGTTTCAACAGCTGTTGAAACGCTGGTCTTATAATACAGCGGCTGGCACAAACCATCACAACAGAGTCCAGCCTTTGGAACAGAGAGGCTGAGAGAACAGGCACTTCTCAATGGCCCAGCGAATGGCTCTGGCAAGGTTTTCAAGATAATAAATACCCTGCACCCATTGTTCATCTACCAGCAAGTCATGTCACGCTGACGTCCCCAACCTCCGAGGTCTGAAGGTCACCAGGTGAGGAAAGCAAGTAGCACTGTCCCCTGTATGGCAGCAGTACTCTGCCCCCCACTCACCTGTCTGCAGGTCAACTGCGGTAAGAGACACCGGCTTCCCCACGACCAGGCAACCCTGGGCCTCAGCTGCCCCGAGCTGCTTGATGCCACACTCCATCCACTCAACTTCCTCGGCAGCAGGCCTCTCCCAGAGCGCTCTGCCGTTTGTGCCAGACACAGCAGCAACGAAGGCACATGGAGAAGGCAGACCTGAAGAGAAGAGATGTCAGAGGGAGTGCTACCAACACCTACCTTTGCTGCTCTGCACTACCCAAGAGCTGGGACTCACCCCGTTCCTCTTCCCACCCAGCTAACCTGGTTTTCTCTCCCAGACCCACAGCAGCATCACTAATTAGAACTACAAGAGAGACAACAGCCCTTTTAATACAAGGTTTTCTGTTTCTGAATCACGCTACCTTCATCCGAACAGGTTCTGTTGAAGCTGCTGCTGCCATTGCTAGCTTTGAAAGCAAAGACGACATCTTGCACTTTGTCTTCATTCGCATCTTCTATAGCAAGAAACTGGTAGGCCACTGTAAAAGACCACAAGCCAGGCGCTGGTGAGGATTGCCTCAACCAACAGCAGAGCTAGCTGGAGCAAAACACAAATTCCTAGAGACCTACTTGCTGCCTCCATCTCTGACAGTGTAACATGAAGACAAATAGGCTTTTGTATTAAAAAAAGCCATCTACATGAGTACCAAGGACTGGAAGTTAGTGCCAAAGGATTTTTAACATCTGCTATCCCCCAGAGGATTTGTCTTTTTTTAAAGCCAAGCAGCCAGAATTTGAACTATGATGAACAAAGAACAACTCTAGTCTTGGTGTGGGGTTGCTATTCCCAAAATAAAAATAAAAAAAAAACAAAACAAAACCCATGAAACCCAGCCCCAGATATTCCATCTTTCTCACCCTCAGCTAAAAGCAGCCTTCTTCAGCTCAGAGTAGCAGAACTTGGGATTTCTGCATTAACACACAAAGCTCAGTCCCCACTGGTGAGCACTATCTCTGTGTTTACAGCATAACTAGCACACGCCCACTGCACATAAGATTAAAGAAAAGCTTTCACAGAAGCAAATGCTGAGCCACCAGGGAGCAGTATCCCAGCTAAAGAGCTAACTTAAAGCAACTATAAATTTGTGCAATTTATTAAAAAAACAAGATGCAATTCCTCTTCTCCCCTTCCTGTTAGCCATGGAGAAAAGTTATAAAGTCATACCAACAGAGAGAGAATGCCTAATTGTCCCCAAACCTCAGCTCAGACTTCAAGGAAATATTTTACAGACCAAACTTCACAAAGATTTATTCCCAGATACCCCTCCCCGGTTTTTTTGTTTGTTTGTTTGTTTTTTTCCAAATGAGGCCAACCTGCTACCTTGTTAGAGCTTCAGAGCAGCATCTAATTTCTCCATCAGATCCTGTAAACACCTCCTGGAAGGCCACTCCAATTATGACGGGCCACTGCTTATCCAGGTCAGGTATTCACAGCTCTCACTCCCAAGAGCAGCATCCCTGCAGACCTGGCTCCAGATTGTGCTTAGGTAGAGGTCCACAATTCAAATTCGTGGCACATAAAGGAAAAGGACTGTTGGTAAATATTTATTCTGCTACAGCAAGCTCACCTGCATTGTCATAGTTTCGGAACCATGTTCTTTCTGAAACTGGCCTCTCTGGGCAAGGAATGATAAATGAGAAAGCAAACACAATTATCAGACACAGAAATAATGAGATGAAGAAGGCGGCAGTGCGCCACCGTGACAGCCGTGAAAGTTGTGATGACTGCTTGCTGACAATTCTTCTCTCGACAGAGTTTTCATGGTTCTCTTGAGCTTTTACGTCCTCAGTCTTCAGAGGGTGGATCTCAGCTTCCGAGTCTTTGTTATCCATTGCAGCTCATTCATCGGTATTCAGACGCCCTTCTCCCCCCTCACCTGCAACAATGGAAAGAGCAGTTAAAACAGATTTTGGAATATATCCAAAAAAAACATCAAAATATTCTGTTACTACCTGATATTCACGCTGGAAACATTTAATGGGAGGTGGTCAAATCAGTGTATTGTCACAGAGCTGGATACAAAGCGCCATTGGTACCAGAACTCTCCCACATGGAGCAACAGGGAGAGACCATGGGATGCAGGAACAGCACTATTTCTTCTTCAGAGGAGGAAATCAGCTCTGCTAGACCCAGACAAAGAAGGCTACAGTGTCTATGCAGAACAGACTGACTGGTCTGTAGGTCCCGCTCATGAAAAACACGACAAAAGCTCCTTTTGCTGCAAAGACTTCTTGCCGCCTCCAGTGCATGTCAGTCTGACTCCTGGCTGGAGAGGTGAAAGGAAACACTCGTGACCTTTATATTCCAACGTAAAGCTGTTCCCTACTGTAATGAGCACTTGAGCTTCCCCAGGAGAGCGAGAGAGAACAAACACCAGCATCTTCTGTATAGCAACAAACCAAAGCTATTCAACACCTTCTCAGATGAGAAACTACTTGATAAGTTTAGCAACTCAGCCTTGCAGAAGGCAAGAGAATGATCCCTCCCCAGAGGAAAAAGTCGGCATGAGTTGAGGCTAAATCAGGCAAATTTGATTTAATCAGAATGGAAGAGCTAACAACTGCTATTTTAGTTTCTCCTGCTTTAAATCATAATCTCAAGCTACAGCTACAATAACAGAGGGGTTCTGTGCTAATTTGTTATAAAAAGGGGAAAAAAGAAAAAGCCCTAGTTGGTTACAGAAACGTGTAACTCATTACCCACAACAACAATAAAAATCAATGTCATATACGGTTTCTCTGATAGTTCCTTAAAAAAATAGCAAAAGGGAAGAAATAAAGAAGGATACATTTCAGTAGCCTTGGAAAAAGCTGCATGACAGTGTCATAGAAAGTTATATCAGAGCAAATAAACATGACAACCGAGCCAATTTTCCATGACTGTGCCCCAGCAGTCACATGCCTAGATTGTCCACTGGAGCAATTTACTTCCCCAGCAGAAAATAGCTTAAACTCAGCACCAGCACACAACGCAGAGAGCTTCGGCTTTCAACTCCAACAACAACAGGGCTCGTTACGTCTCACGTTTCATGCCCAAGTTCATTTACAGGTTGAAAGAAACACAAGGTGAGAGTCACCCTCGGGAGGCCAGCCTCCTTCAGGCAGCTGTGGCTCAACCAGGGGTCTCACCTCCCTGGGTTGTCCCTGTCCCACCACAGGGAAGAGCTGCAGAGGCCTCTTCTCTTCTGTCACGTGAGGGGGGACAGACCTACAGCAAGGCAGGGGTTGAGCGCATGGGGCAAGCAGGACAGCCTGGCACGCTGCTGTCAATCCCCTAGCTAACCTCAGCGACTGCTGGACTTATAAGGCTGCACTTACTCCAAGCCAAGCACTCTGGTATTTATTCTATGACAGCACATCAAGTACAAGATCTCGCTCCAGACAATTTAATTCAAGCTGCACAATACCATGCAAATGCAGTTAAATCAATAATGTAGAAGTTGTATCTTATTCCAAAGATCTTACTCCAAAGACCTCATCTAGCCTTCTCATCAGTCTGCTGGCACCAACAGAGACACCCTCACGAGGCTGGCTGTTTCCAGACCAACCGCAGGCACCTGACAAGGGTAGGAAGGCTCCAGATGGAAAGGGGAATAAAAGAAAGAGTCATGCATTCAGCCTTCCCCCCGACCTGGCCATCACGCTGGCAAGCTGAGCACCACTCTGTTACAGAAGCCAGCTGAGCACCAGACCATTAGCAGGTTCAAGGTACAAGGCTCCAGGCACAGGCTGAGCAAATGATTTACCAGAGCAGAGCAATCACCACCGCAGCGATGGGGGACAGCAGCAGGAATGGGTTACGCGACCTCCCTTGCGATGAGGCAGATGGCTTGTGCATCTCTGGCATGCCTGTCTCCAGCAGCAGGGAGAGGTGGATCTTCTCAAATGCTGTGGTAACCAGTGTCCATGGCACGGGCTGCGACAGGGCTCCAGCACAACCCCACCAGTCTCTCCAGCAGAGTCCTCCGCAGCCCCCCAGTACAGAGCCACGAAACTGCCAGGGCACGGCCAAGTGCTTCCAGCACCTATGAGACTTCCCAAGAAGAACCAAAACCAGGCTTCTCCCCACTTAGTCCAAAAGGGACACCATCGTAACACTGTATGGAAGGCGTATTTTTATGACTCACTATAAATCACACCATTGTCATCTAGACTGGGACGAGAACAATAAAAAAAAGTGGTAATTATCCTGACAGCCCCAGCAATTCCCCTTCTTTTGCAGCAATGACCCTAGGAGCCACTGATGACAAAGAGCCCTCAATGCCTTTAAAGCAATTCTTTCTCTTTTCTTTCAGGGTTTGAATAATGCCCTTTGCACCCCTGCCAGAGCAGAGGCAGTGCCAGAACAACGACCACAAAGGTCAATGGCAAAGACTCAAACAATGCAGGAAATCCCATGGCCCACATTTGCCAAAGTACGTGCTGGCAGCATGTGAAACAGTCAGAGCTATGAACGACAAAGAAGTCTGGTAATCAGTTTAATTGAAGACAAGCAGAAAATGATAGTGTGCATTTCAGATGATTTTACTGTCCTCTAGCAGCCGGCATTTTGTCTCCTGCTGGTAGAGGACACAAAACAATTCACCGGAAAGTTTAATGCATCCAGGCACCTTGCAAGGCAACAGGCAGCGACAGGATCCTGTGCTGCTGCATTATTAACACACACTGCATGCACTAGATCTCGTAGCTAGCACCAGTTCTCTGCCTGGGGATGGGAGGCCTCACCAGTAGAAAACATGGGAGAAAGACTTCATAGAAAAGGAAATCATTAGAAACAACATGCGACAGACCTGAACTGAAGCCATACAGCTGACAGAGTGCTGCAGTACAGCCAGGATCTGCATCTCGTACGAATTCCATTTGCTGGTGTGCGCACTTCCATCGCTCCCCAAGCTTTAAAGGCCACTTACCCCAAGCAATGGGATGAGCTAGGAGCAGTCACGGATCAAAGCCAAGGAGGAATGAATACCCTTTCCCATCCCACAGTAACAATGCTGCGCTCAGGACAAACACAGCTTTACTCACCTTCATGGGGGACTGACTTTCCTCTTCTCCTGAAGCTACAGCGCAGATTTACAGATCTGATCTGAATCAAACCAGTGAAACTAGTGCAGCAAGCAGTTAGTGCCAAGCCACAGTTAAATCCAAGAGACAAACTATCATTACCAGTCAGCTAGAACTGCCCGACAAGCACAGGAACTGCATACAGTCAGACGTATGAAGACTGGCGACAGAAGCCATTTAAGTGTCAGTGTGATGGAAGGTTTAACTCATTTTCCAGCCATAAAATACCAAACCACAGCATTTATAATCTCACCAGGCACCAGTTCTTCCTGGAAAGTTTCTAGCAATGTATCGTAACTTAGATTTGATGTTCAACATGGTTATACCTTTCATAGAATGATGAAATCAGATTCTGACTGGCCATTTTAGGAACCCAAACACAGCATTGGGCTGTTTTGGTTCTTTTTTGTTTGTTTGTTTTAAGCACCTTACAGGTTTCCTTCCTGTCAGCCAGAAATTGTTGAAGCCCCAAGCTGCAATCAGTAATGACAAAACAGGTTCCAAGTTTTGCTCTGAATAAGATGCAACGTTCCCTTCATAGCTGCCTTCCACGAGCAGACTGTTCAGTTTTGATCCCATGTACAGCACGGCACTGCAGCAAACTTGCCGGACAGTCACCTGCTGCAACACTAAGACATTATTGGGTCATTTCCCTTTTCTGCAGTCCCACTTACATCAGGGTCCAGCCAAGAGGAAATAATGCATAAGATTTCCCCCTAAATGAGATTTTCCTTTCCAAATACGCTCAGACTGCACTCTGTACACAAGCTTATTGTTTTGCTGGGTCATCCACAGCTCATAACTCTTTCTTGATACAAGGCTGCAGCCACGGGCTGGCAAGAACTGCCTCAAGGAGACCATCCCCTTCTGACACCGGGGTACCTCAGCTCCTGCTCGTGTCCCTATCATGTTGGTAAGGACACAGTTTGTAACCCAGATCACACCAAAGATAACACAGGTACCCAGCTCAGAGAAATATCCGCATTCTGCTGCTACAGCTGTCCTTTCCCTTCCCCTCCCCTCCCCCTTGCTATTTTGCCTCTGTTAACACAGATCTCTTCAAAACATCAGGTTCTTCTTAAATGACACTTAACCCTCTGGTGCAGACACAACACGTGCCACGGAGCATTCACAGCAAGAAAATTGCAACTCCTCCAGAGCACAACCAAATGTCACTTTAGAATGTGACACATTTGTCATTTGCAGGAGAAAAGTCCTCTTTCCCAGGGCAGTTTTCACTACAGTGAGGAGTTCAAGTAGGGAAACTCGATCTGTTTAGCAAAGAGCAAGACATGATCCAGTACTTTTTCCAAGACAGTAATGGGAAAAGCAAAACTCTAAGATGAAGAGCAGCATTAAAGCTGCAAAACTGTGTGGATCTGATTACAGGTTAGGCCAGTAATAACAAGCGAGCAGCAGAAACACGCGCCATTTATCATCCCAGAACTTACAAGCTTTGCAGGATCAAAGCCAGACTGTTGCAGATCCCTTGCGTCAACCCCAAGAGCAGTAGTTAGCAAGTTGTTTGAATCGCTCACATCAGAGACATCCCCAACTCATCCACAGGGCTCCCCTGCTTGCGTCAGAAGCACAGAGGCTTCTCCGCACTGCCAGAGATTTAACACACTAGGGGCTTTGAAGAGATCTCAGTGCATGAAAACCCTTTAAAAGCAGCTGTGGTCAGTTCATGTAGGTTTATTAAAAGACAAAAAAGAAAGCACATTTTTTAAGTGGAGCACTTGTTCTACAGGTCACAAACTCCGTGCTGCCCGCTGGGTCCTTGCTGCACAGCCTAGAGAGGTTTATGGCAGCATGAAGCAACAGCCTTCCTCCAGCTGCTGCTGTCCTTGTCAACTATCTCCAAGAGAAACCTCTTTTTTCCTCCCCCAAAATGGAATTTTTCTTTTCCCCTCTTGCACATGCACATGGAGGAAAGCTCATTCACAGGCCGTTCCACCTGCACAGCCAACACCCAGCCTTGCAGAGCCTCTCAGCTTCCAGCCTCCACAGGCAGCCCCACGAACAAGGCCCAATTCTGCTCCGGCAGTGGGGAGGGCTGGCTCCAGTTGCACTGAGCCATCTCCCCCTGTAAGGCAGGCTGACCCTGCAGTTAAGTAAGAGGTTTTTGCTTTCCAAAATAAGGAAAAAAAGGTGGAAATGGGATAGACTGGAATTTAACACACTAAAGCATTCTTCTTTCTGCAAGAAACGCTCTAATTCATGCCTGCAGACTAGGCTCGTGGCCTGCTGAGGAAAAGAGAAACATGAATTCGAACCCTCTCCAGGAAGAGCGCTGAAGGCTGCGTGCTGAGCTCTGTAGAGGTGAGGGGTTTCTTGTGTTTCTATTTGATTGAAATACAGGCCCGCAGTAGCAAGTGCTGTGTAAGCGTCTCCCCAGGACTCGTACGCAGCCTGCCAACCACACGGGATAAACTAGCTCAGATCAAACGGCAGGTTACAGCAACAAGCTACCTCGGCAGAGTCCGTGGCTTTTGCAAAAGGGATTAAATTCTCTCCCAGGCTTCTCGACATGGTTTTGGGCAACTTCTTGCGCGACCCCTTCCGATCGCAGGGAAGGCACCAGGGCTGGGTCAAGCGCAGCAGGAAGCGTTGAAGAGCCGCGGCGTTTCGCAGCCCTGCTCCCCAGCCCGGCTCAGGCTGCAAGGCCAGGGCAGAGGCGGCCTGGGACCAACCCCGCCGCTCGCCCCCGCGGCCCAGCAGCAGCCGGCCGGCCGGCTTCACCGAGCCCCTCGCTTCTTCCGAGCTCCCGCTCCGGC